TGTAATCTGTGCCAGCACTGGTTATTCTTGTTCATTTGGATGTATGCCAGTCTCTGTGGTATGAGATGATATCTCATATAGAGCGTTTTTTCATGTGCCTTTTGGCTATTTGAATTTCTTCTTTGAGGAAGTTTCTGCTCATTTCTTCTCTCCATTTTTTGATGGGGTTGGGTGTTTTATTCTTGTAAAGTTCTACCAGTGCCTTATATATCTTGATATTAATCCCTTATCAGATTGTATTGGTGAATGATTTTTTTCCCCCATTCCATGGGCTTTATTTGTATCTTGATCGCTATTTCTTTTGAGGTACAAGACGGTACTTAGTTTAATGTAACCTCATTTGTTAATCTTTGCTTCCACTTGCTTGTTCAGTGGTGTTTCATCTTTGAAGATTCCCTTAGCTTTAATGTCATAGAGGGTTTTGCTGCCTATGTTTTCCTCCATGTACCTTATGGATTCAGGTCTGATGCTGAGGTCTTGAATCCTTTTTTCTTTTTTTTTTGTTCCTTTTTGATCTGACTTTTGTTCATGATGTTAAGTAGAGCTCAGAGTTCATTTTTTTTTATGTAGTTGTCCAGTTTTTCCAGCACTACTTGTTAAAGAGACTTTCCTAGCTCTACTTAATATTTCTTGATCCATTAACAAAGATTAGGTAATCATATATTTGAGGCTTTGTGCCAAGATATTCAACTCTATTCCTTTGGTCTGTGGGTCTGTCTTTATTCCGATACCATGCTGTTTTAATTACTACTGATTTGTAGGGCAATTTCAAGTTGGGAAAGTGATGCCTACCAACTTCTTTTTCCCAACGATTACTTTCACTGTTTGTGGGGGTTTATTCCTTTATGAATTTCAGGAGGCTTGATAAATTTCTTTGAAAAATATCATGTGTATTCTTATAGGGACCGCACTGAATCTGTATAATGCTTTGGGGAGTATTGCCATCTTGACAACGTTAATTCTCCTAATCCATGAGTAGGGGATGTGTTTCCATTTCCCCGTGTCCTCTTTTATTTCTTGAAGTAGCATTTTGTAGTTTTCTTTGTACAGGTTCTTTACCTCCTTAGTTAAGGTGATTCCGAGGTACTTGATTTTCTTTGGCAGAATTGTGAACGGTATTTTTTTTTTAGTATCACTTTCTTCTTTTTAATTATTTGCATATAGGAAAGCCATGGACTTTCAGGTATTGATTTTGTAACCAGCCACTCTACTACACAAATCTTGTTTCTAGGAGCTTTTTGGTAGAGACTTTAGGGTTCTCTAAGTATAATATGATGTCATTAGCAAATAGTGAGAGCTTGACTTGCTCATTTTCTATCTGGATGCCCTTAATATCTTTTTCTTCCCTAACTGTTATGGCGAATACTTCCAGTACTATATTGAATAAACATGGTGAGAGTGGTCAACCTTGTCCTGTTCCTGATCTTAGCGGGAAGGCTCTTAGTTTTTCCCCATTGAGAATAATGCTTGCTGTGGGCTGTGGTAGATGGCTTTGACTATACTGAGGAAAGTTCCTTTGACTCCGATTTTACTGAGACTTTTTATCATAAATGGGTGCTGGATCTTGTCAAATTGCCTTCTCTGCATCTGTTGATATGATTATATGTATATATTTTTTAAATCTTTTCTTTTATTAAAATGGTGTATTGATTGACTTGCAAATGTTAAACTGTCCTTGCACTCCTGGGATGACTCCTACTTGGTCATGATATATGATCTTTTTGATGTGTCATTGGATTCTATTTGCTAGTATTTTGTTGAGGATCTTTGCATCTGTGTTCATTAGAAATATCTGTAATTTTCTCTCTTGTCATGGCTCTGTCTGCTCTGGATATCAGGGTGTATCTGCCTCATAGAAACTGGGAGTATTTCTTTTTCTTCGGGTTCCTGTAAAAGTTTGAAAAGGATTGGCAGTAGGTCCTCTTTAAAGGTTTGGAAGAATTTACTAGTGAATCCACCTGGATCTGGGCTTTTGTTTTTGGGAAGACATTTAATTACCATTTCAATTTCCTATATGATGATAGGTCTATTCAGGTATTCCAAATCTTCTTCAGACTTGGGAGGTAATAAGAACACAGCAATTTATCTATTTCTTCAAGGTTCTCTTGTTTTGTGCCATGAATTTTTTCAAAGTAATCTCTGATGATCCTATGTATTTCTTTAGTTTTTATTGTGATGTTCCCCTTTGCATTTCTGATATGATTTATTAGGTTCCTCTCTCCCTGCTTCTTTGTGAATCTTGTTAGTGGTTTATCGATCTTGTTTATTTTCTCAAAGAACCAGCTCTTAGTTTCATTGATCTTTTGGACTGATTTTTGGGCTTCCAACCCATTGATTCTGCTCTAACTTCTGTTATTTCCTTCTCATGCTTTGTTTGGACTTTTTTTTGTTGATCATTTTCCAATATCTTAAGCTCTGAGGTTAAGTTTTTGACCTTTCTTCTTCCCTGATGAACTCTTGCAGAGCTATAAACTTTCCCCTTAACGCTGCCTTTGCTATGTCCCACAAGTTCTGGTCATTTGTGTCCTCATTTTCATTTGTTAACAGGAATCTTTCAATTTCCTCTTTGATTTCCTCTCTAACTGACTGGTTGTTCAATAGTGAACAGTTTAATTTCCAGGTGTTTGATTTGATTCTCCATTGCTGTGTGTTATTCACTTCTGTTTTCAATGCATCATAATCTGAAAAGATGATATCATTTATTTTCTCTTCATTTTATGGAGGTATGTTTCATGGACCAGCATGTGGTCTATCATGGAGAATGTCCCATGTGTAAGGGAGAAGAATGTGTGTTAAGCTTTTGGGGGGATGAAAGTCCTATATATATCTACTAACCCTTCTCTTCCATTCTTCCAAAATAAAGCATCTCCTTGCTGAACTTTAGTCTGGTTGATCTATCAAGAGGTGACAATGTGGTTTTAGTCTCCAACTGCTATTGTGTTGCTATTGCTGTCTTTCTTCGAATCTATTAGCGGTTGTTTCAAAGTATTTTTAAACATTAGGTACATATACATTTAGGGGTGTGAGTTCTTTCTGGTGGATTGATCCCTGGATCATTAAGAAATGATGCATGCTGAAAGTACACTATAGACCAAACATGATTGCCACTCAATGCCTCTTTTGCAAACCACAGCACCCAAAAGGAGAGAGAGAACAAAAGGGAATGCCCTGCCACAGAGTCGGGGTGGGATGGGGGGATGGAAGGGTAGGAGGGATACTGCGATCATTGCTGGTGGAGAATGGGCACTGGTGGAGGGATGGGTACTTGATCATTGTATAACTGAAACCTAAGCACAAAAATTTGTAAGTCTACAACTGTACCTCATGGTGTTTCACTAATAAAAAAATAAAATAAAAAAAGAGAAATGAACTTCACTGTCTCTTATAACTTTCTTCAGGCTGAAGTCTATGTAGTCTGGTACTGTTCTAGTATTAGAATGGCCACCCCGTTTTCTTGATGGTGTTGTTTGCTTGGAGAATTGCTTTCCAGCCTTTGACTTTGAGCCTGTGTTTGCTTTGATTATTCAGATATATTTCTTGCAGGTAGTAGAATGTTGGGTTCAGTTTTCTAACCCATCCTGCCACTTTGTGCCTCTTGCATTTAGTCCATTGACATTGAGAGATTATTGTGATGGGTATTTGTGCCATCTTTATATAGGAGTTTGGTGTGCTTGTGTGACTCGTCTTATCTTAAAGTAGCCTATTTAGTTCTTCTCGTAACAATGGTTTTGTGTCTAGGAAGTTCCTGAGTTGGTCTTTATCTGTGAAATTGTGTATTGTTCCTTTAAATCTGAATGAGAGTCTGGCTAGGTAATGTATTCTTGGTGATGAGTTTTTCACTATATCCCACCACTGTCTTCGGGTCCAGAGGGTTTCATCTAGTAAGTCTGCTGTGAATCTTAGGGATGCTTCATTATAAGTAATTTCCTTCTTTGGTCTTGCTGCTTTCAGTATTCTACCTGTATTTGTATTTTTTGTCATTCTGGTTAAAATGCCTTAGGGTATTTTTGTTTGGATTTCTTTTACCTGGTACCCTTTGGACCTCCTGGATTTGGTGCATGCAATCTTCAGCTCTGGGAACTCTCGGTGATGATAGTTTTAACAGTTGCTTCTTCATCAGGGTTTTCTTCCTGCCCCTCTGATACTCCAATGATTCTTAATGTTGTTCCTCTTGAGATCATCCTATTTTTTCTTGTCAGTTGTTTACTTTAAAGACCTTTTCCATCTTCTGCTGTAGTTTGGAGATTCTCTGTTCCTCATCTTGGAGCTTACTGATTCTGTCTTCAGCAGCTGTTACTCTGCTGGTGAGTCCTTCCAGTGAGTTTTTTGTTTCACCTATCAGGTTTTTCAGGTCTGTCATTTCTGCTTGTATTTTTGTTTGCATTTTCCTCAGTTCTGCTCTCATATCCTCCTGTGTTTTATTGGCAGTGTTTTCCATTGTTTCTCTGAGCTCCTTATGCATCCTTAACAGTTCCATTTTAAATTCCTTGTCAGAGAGGTTATATAGCTCATCATTACTTGTTGGGTCACCTGGGCTAGATTCTTCATTCACTTAGTCTGGTGGAATTCTGTGTTGCTTTACCATCATGATCTTTGCCATTTAGGGTTGCTACATATGTGTTTTTTGTGTGGTTAGTAACATAAGTTAGGATGTCTTTGTATGTGTAGAATGAGTCAGAGTGGTGAAGAAATTTGGGGCAGCTCCGGGTTCGGGAGGTACCTAAGAGGGGCAAAGGATTCACTTAGGGCCGGTAAGCCTGCCCTGACGTCAAAGTGCTTTTCCTTCTCACTTAGCATGGAGTGGCCACAGGATTGGCATTTTTAATAGAGAGAGAATTATACAGGGAAGTGAGTTTTGTTATCAAGCTGAATAGAGATTATAATATACCAAAGGAAAACATGTAATAAATACTTGAAAAAATCCAGAAGTAAATTACTAAATTAATTTATATCCATCTGCTTTAGCATTTGGTTGACTTTTACCTGGATCTGTCTTTAAGGTTTTGTATACATCAATGGCAGAATCCTCCAGTGATTCAGATCAATTCCGCTCTCGTGGCCGATTGGGTCAATGGCCTACCAGGTCAACCTACGGTGAAAATCGAAATCGTCCTGCAGTAGATGTTACTCAGAGGGTCAACACTATAACAAGTACTCTACAGGTTGGTTTTGTAATAGTTTTATTTAATAGATATTAAATAGCTTAGGCTGAGAAATAATTTTGGAAAATGTATTCATTTAAATTTTTATAGCCAAATCAGATTACCATAAAATGAATGTCTTAAAATAGAAGAAATTTATTTTTAAAGAGTCCTGTCTGTTGGTCTGAGCCTGTGAATCTTTGGGATGTCATTGAACTAGAATTAAGGTTTCAGCAAGATTGTATTCCTTTTTGTACCCCTTTCTTTTGCTATTTGGGCCATAATCAGCAGTGCTCAGGGCTTTCTTCTCGCTCTGTTTGTGGCATCACTGCTGGCAGTGTTCATGGGAATATATGCGGTGCTGGGGATCAAACTGGGGCTGGCTATATGCAAGAGTCTCACCTGCTGTACAGTATGTCTCTGGTCCTGTATTCCTTTCTTGAGGCTCTAGGGGAATAATACCATTTCCCTTGCCTCTTCCAGTATGCAAGCTGCCCCCATTTCCTACTCTATAACCTCCTTTCTTTGGTTTTAAAGTCATCATGGGTGGCTTGAATCCTTTTTACATCACTTCACTTTGATTACTCTTCCATTTCTCTCACTTATTTTTAAAGTCACTTGTGATTATATTGGGTTTGCCCAATAAGTTAAGGCATGAAATCCCTTTTGAAATGATATTTAAAGTAACATGTGATCAATTTTTAGAGATTATGATTTAGACATCTTTGGGACCCATTATTTTTTTTGAATACAATCAGTAAAGATATTTGAAATATATAAGTATTTGGAAGTATTTTGAGATAAGGCATTATTTCCAGGCGAACTACTTATGGGAGTGAAACCTGTTGGAATTACCAATTTAGCTTTTTGTGAATATGTACCTTTAGGGAATTTGCTCATAAGTTGGCTAGCAGGATTATTTATAGATGATTAATACTGAGATAGTTGATTTAGCAACTAAACTTTGAGAATGTTGGTAAATTTAGGTAAAGGCAGTTCATATCATCTCAGAAAGGGTTTAGGAAAAAAGCAGGTAAAAAGTGATATAGTCACATTGGGAAAAAGAAAACTCAGACTTTTCCTTTCTACCTTATAATCTCTTACTCCTGCTTTTTCTGGATAAAGATAGATATTGTCTTCATTATTTTTGGTAACTGTGTAAAAAAAGAGGTTAACTTCTATTGGAAGGGGCATAATTTAACTTAGAATTAGGAAGACTTTTAAAACTTATTTAAATTAATAGAACTTTGAATTTTTGGAGTATAAATCAAATACTTTGCTTCTTCACGCAAACTACTGGATTTGGTCTTAATATTTCTTTTCTGTAGAGTATGTGAATTGGTTTAGGTATACAAATTGATGATGACTATTTTCTTAATTAATGATTTTTTTACTGACTTATTATGGATCTCTGGATGAGAATTATATGCTTCAGATTTCACATAGTAAGTTACCATATTTGTGGTATAATGAGATTTATTTGATATTTATCAAGTATATTGAAATTCATAAATAATCAACCATATTTTATCATTGGTTGAATTTATTTCACATGTTATTAAGACTGATTTGGAAAACATTGTTTGGAACAATCAATAAAGCCCATCTTTTTTCTTCTTTGAGGATACCAGTCGGAACCTGCAACAAGTCGACCAGATGCTTGGACAATATCGAGAATATAGCAATGGACAAGCTGATGCTATAGAACAAGTGAGAATATTACTATATTTGAATTCTCTCTAAGTCACATTTTTTTTTTGAGATTCAGTTTTTGAGAAGAAAAGATGTGTGATAAAAGAAATAACCATTGTGAATAATCTTTTTAACTTTTACATTGCACTACTGTTTTGTGGTTTAGTAGCTTATCAGATAGGCTGCCTGCTATCTTTTTGTTTTGTTTTGTTTTGGGGCCATTCCCAATGATGCCCAGTCTCTGCACTCAGGAATTACACCTGGTGGTGCATGGGAGACCATATGGGAATCTAACCCAGGTGGGACATGAGCAAGGCAAGCTATACTATTACTATGACCTAGATTGCCTGCTATCATAAATAGAGTATTTCCATTGAATTTGAAAGATTTAAATGTAAGGGGAAGTATTTAGGATATGAGTTAAACCAGACAGTGCAGTCATGAATTAAACTGAGATAGCAAACGTCCATCATGGAGACCCCACACGGGAAATTAAGACTTTTAAGAATGAGTTTATTTGTTTACTAAAATGTTTTCATATTTTTATTTCATTAAAGCACTGTGTGTTGCAGAATTATGCATAATTTGGTTTTTGACAAAAATATTGCATCCCCAATCCCTCTCCAGTGTTAGCTTTCCTCTACCAGTGTTCCCAGGTTCCTTCTCCTCCCCCCTTGCCCCACTGCCAGCCTGCCATCTCTTAACAAGTACCTTCATGTTTGCTTACTAAAGTTTGGGTCTTGTGATTTCAATGTTGTTGACTATTGTTTGGATATTTAGATGTATCATCACCACCACTGATATCACCTGGGTCCTCTTGACCCCTGCTTCTGAGGGGATGCGTTATTTTAAATACTTTTTCATTATTTAAACAAAACTCAGATATCCCATAGTCCTCAGTTCCACTCAAAAGAAGAAACAATGTTGACAGTGTCTTGTATAACTTTTTCTAGATATTTTCTGTGTATGTGTAAGCATATATGTGATTGTTTTTTGAATTGGAATCATAAAGCAGAATGTTAAGCAATTTTTTTATTCATTTAACAGTGTATGTAATTTTCCTTATGACAGGTCTGTCTCATTGTTTTGATTGGTCTGTAATAATCCATAATAGAGATGTATATTAGGGGTCATACCTGACAGTGTATTATAGAGCCTTGCTGGTATTTTCAGGTTAGCTGTGCTGTAGGGTAATCAAGACCATACCCAGTGGTAATGGGGGGCTTTTAAAGCAAAAGTATTATCATCATTTACTTATAATTGGATGTTGTTTTATGGAATTGTGATTGTATTACTGGAATAGAGGTAAATGGCTCTCAAGGTTTTTTTTTTATTACCTTCATTTTGAAAATAAACTTAAAATTTCATGACTTTACAAGATCTTTATGATGAATGAGAATTTGAGAGATGAACATTATTTGAGAGTTGAAGATATTTAGGTGTCTCATACAATATTTTAGATTTGACTCTCGTTAATAATGTGAGGTAATATCAAAGAAAATCTTATCAGCTAGTTCACCTTCTTTATCCTGTTGAATATTAAATGGGTCACTGTCACTGTCACTGTCTAACCATTGTTCATCGATTTTCTCGAGTGGGCCCAGTAACGTCTCCATTTTGGGACTTTGTATTAAATGGGTATGGTAGAAAATTTTCTTTGAATTGAGTAATTAGGATATGAAATTAAACATTAATGAAACCAATGAAGATAAACATTTAAACACAGAATTTATTTTCTTGTGATATTAAGCCTTTGTGTTGTGCCAAGTGATGGATTATTCTGAACTCCGGGGGAGTGGTTTTATTCTGGGAAATAAATACACTTTGCAGGTATTTCATTTCTACTTTGTATGAAAAACCCTGCATTAAAAAAAAAAGACAGGAAAAAAAGTCTTTTTTTTCTGCTTAAGTTTTCTCTTAGTGTGGTCTAGAGTTTTCTCTATAAGATCCCCCAATTTGATATGTTAAAACAGGTGGCTATCAGTGACTTTTTTTTTTTTAAACCCCATACTATTGAGTAGGTCACATATTGCCTATGTTATGCTCACTCCGCAGAGCAATGAATTTTACTCTGTCACTTGTAAGTTATCTTGGGGGAACATCTGCATAATCCCTCAGAAGATGTACAACTCAGAAAGATTATTTCTCATAATAAGTGATTCTAGTGGGTTCCTCAGTTAAAATTGCCTGCTTAGCATTAAAATATTTACATCTGTGAAATCTGATAGAACTGAAAATAGTGTATGTAATATGCCAACTGTCATGTACATTTACTTCCTATTTATATTTCTTAACTACTTTAACTGCATGGTAATATATAGATTTTTTTTCTCTTTATAATCAGTGTATATTCTGTTTAAGAGGAAATTTTATTTTTGAGACAGTTGCTATTTATACAAATCCTTATACTGTGGATCTGCTATATACTTAAAAATCATATAATAGCAGATTAATCTATTTTAGATTATGTAATGTTCAACTGTTTAAACATGTCTATATCCCAGTAACCCATTGAATTTTAAAAATGTAAGCAATTTTGTAGAAAATGAGATAAACTCTTCTGGGAAGACAGTGATTTCTATTATTTATTTTTGACCAATCTGCAATTTCACTGGAAAGGGGAGAAACTAATTCCCTCCTTCTCTCATAATTTCTCATAAAACCTCATAAAACCACTCCCTTGGAGTTCAGATTAATCCATAATTTCCATAATTTGCCATTGGCTGGGAAGAAATAAATATCTAGTGGTATGTTTTCCTCAATAATTGAACTGCTGTTTCTTTGACTTTTTATAATCTTCAAGCCTAAATTTAATTCTTGGATTATTGCATGCGAGGGCTTCTCTGTTGGATGTTACAAAGAATCAGTGATGTGTTGTTGCCTAGAGAAGCAGGTATCTGTTTCTCTATAGTTTTTTTTTGGAATTTGTTCATAGATTATTATACCTCAGATACTTTATTATAATAATATCTCATTCAGCAATTGTTAGAAAGGTACTATTCTTGTTTACAAGATAAAAAACTGGGGAAAGAATGATGAAAAATTTCTGAAAAATTGGGGTTTAGTGTTCAAAGTTTGAGATATTACATGATTCGGATTGTTATCTTAACATTGGAAAACAGAAGTCCCAGGCCTCATGTCATTCATTAGATAGGCAGGCTGGTATAACATCCAGAAGGAGAGCTAGGTACAATCAATACAAAGAGAATTGGGAAGCGACTAGGATTGGCAATGAAATGTTGTTAAAACTGATGGGGCTAGCTATCACTTAAGCTCTGTGGTGGGCTCTTCAAGTTGTCTACAACTAGCAACAATTTCCTTTTCTTATTGGGTTATAACCATTGATTTTTTCACTAGGCTTTCATGCAGCCAATGGACCACGTTTTGTTCTATACCCTCACTTAGGCTTTTTGGGCTACATGAACTTCATGCTCTTACATAAACGGCATCAATGTATTATTTCTGATGCTATGAATTTCCTGGTTATTTGGGCTTAGAAAGATCTGAGAGAATTTTGTTTTAGTTAACTGTGAAGATTTGCAGTATATATACTCCTGTGTTAGATGGTATAGTTGATTTACTTAGTTCTTCGAATACTTATAGAACTGTGTTCTGATCGTAAGAAACAAGAAGAATCTGAAGAATCTGCCGCCGGTACTTATCAATATACTGGCTCGGCTCAACACACACTGCCTGTCTGAATGCAAGGTTCCGTCCCAATGGAAAAAAACCCCAGGATGGTTCTTTTTTACTAGAAGGGAGACATCGGCAACTATCGCCCAATCTGTCTGTTGCTCATTGTCTACAAGCTGTTCACTCAAGTCATCCTGAATAGAATTGGCAGAACACTAGATGAAGGACAACCATGCGAGCAAGTCGGGTTCTGAAAAGGATTCAACACAATCGACCATATCCATACACTGACCAAACTCATTGAGGTTTTGCGAGAGTTCAAGATGCTGTTCTGTCTAATGTTCATCAATTTAAAGAAGGCCTTTGATTCTTTTGAAACTGAAGTGGTCATCAGAGCTCTAGCCAAACAGCATTCAAACTCAGTATATTAGGATCCTCTGTGAGGTGTATTATGGATTCACAACCAGGATCTCACTATTCTACAAAAAAGTGATCATCGATGTTAAGAGAGGGGTTTGGCAGGGCTGTACCATTTCACCGAAACTCTTCAGTGCCACCCTTGAGAACGTCATGTGACGACTGGAATTGGAAGGAATTGGAGTGAAGATAGACGGTCGGCAACTACACCATCTCCACTTTGCTGATGACATTGTTCTAATAACCAAACATAAGCTAAGCGGCACAAATGCTGGCCAACTTCGACCATAAGTGTGGAAAGGTCAGACTACAGCAGAATCTCATGAAGACAATGTTCATGAGACACAGACTAGTTTTTGACATTCCACTTGCTCTCAATGGAAGAAACATCTCCAAATGCAGCAGTTATGTGTACCTAGGTTGAGAACTCAGCATGACGAACGACCTGGCATCTGAGCTGCACAGGAGGAAGAGAGTGGCGTGGAATGCCTTCAAGAGTGTCAAAGAAGTTGTTAAGAGGATTAAGAACCTCTGGCTCTGGGCACATCTTTTCGACTCCACTGTTTTTCCTGCAATAACATACACCTCAGGGATCTGGGCCCTACTAAAACAGGACAAGAATGCCATTTGAGTATCCCAAAGAGGAGTCGAAAGAGCTATGCTCAGAATATCACATTTCATTCAATTGAGAGACGGAATCCGGAGTTCTGACCTCCGTTGATGTTCGAAGATCAGGGACACTGCCTCATTTGCCAAGGCGTCAAAAATCAGATGGGCCAGACTTGTAATGCGATTTGGAGATGACTGCTGGACTAGAGCTGTTACCTACTGGATTCCATGGGACATCAAAAGAATACCTGGCCACCCACCTATGAGATGGTCAGACTGCTTCATCAAGAACCTGAATGAATAGTTTGAGGCTCTTTGTGTTCCTGGAGCGAGCAGATGCCATTGGGCTACACTAGCAT